ATATATATCGTTGGCGGCATCCAGTTTCGCATTTGCCTGTCACTATAGCCTGCCACAGGACGCCTGCGCCTACAGAGGGACCATGGATGGCTTGCGCTGCACCACCCACAGCTCCAACCACACACCCCATATCCAGTGTAAACCAGAAGGAATAAGACCGGGAGGCATGTGGATGGGAGCCACGTTTCATCAACGGAGCCGGCCCACACTCCTTCACAGGCAAACACAAGCACGCTGTATTTGGGGAATCAAGCGCACACAAGGCGGTGGCTGGACCGTAGTCCGCTCCACACTGAGTGCATGGAACCGCTCTTTGAGCCTAGCACGGCCACAAGAACCTTTCACCCTGTCCCTTCCAGCAACGACCAACTGTCTCCTGGAGCCAGTATGGACGAGGTAGTGGGTAATAGACAGGTAGGCACCTTGTCAACATACACATCAAGCGCAACCATACCAGGGATATCAAACAACAGCCATTCACTTTAAACGACAAGCTGAAATAAAATAAATCCAACAATGCATACAGGTGCGGTGGCATAACTCTTCCCTAAATAACCATATGAAGTAAGTTGGTTAACAACAAATCCGTGATAAGTAAGAAATGTCCACAAGTTACTTAAAAATGCTACAAACGCAACAAAATTACCGAAGGTAAGCGCAATTAGTGTAAGCAACGTGGCCAGTTAATAGAACATTATTCAGGGAGGCAGAACAAACCAAATAAAGCGGAATGAAATGTGTATATATATATATATATATATATATATATATATATATATATATATATATATATATATATATATATATATACCATTTACACTTTAAATTGGACATTTTGCAAACCAAACTGGACACGTTGCAATCTAAGTAGCACCTCGCCAATTTGTTGCTACGAAACGAGCAGTAAGACTGCTGAATGATGTTCAGAATATACATTGTGATGACGCTAATACACCGGCATTGTGTAAGCAGCGGGCTACACTCGGTCGAGCTCGTAATTACACTTTTTGAGAGTTGAAGACAGAGGATACTGATAGGTTTATCCCATTCTCTCTCAGGCGCATCTGCAGCTGCACCAAGGTGTCCTCAGAGTGCCGTTCAACCGTTTCTTCCACGCGCTGCAATACATTGGGAGTCAGCTTCTCCCTATTGTTTCCACCGCAGGTGCACTCTGTATTTGAGCCTTCTCGCTTGTAGGCATTAATGATGTTCCTTGCCGTACTCGCGTTAACACCGGCGACTTCAGCGGCTTCCCGAATAGTTTTGCCGTCGACCATCACAAGTTTTATGAGAATTTCTCTTTGCGCAAATGATGTTCGCCTGCAGTGCCGTCGCGTCGGACACCAGCTCTCCTGTTGTTCATCACTCATTTTGGTCGTTTCGTGCGGCACGGTGCTAATAAAGCTAAGTTGTGTTGAGTGGAACCATTATCGTATGCTCCGCTCCAATAGTGGTACCGCTGCATAGGTCGGTCCACACACCCAGACAAAACACACGAATTCCTATGGGGGGTGTAGGGGAAAATAGGTCACCGATTTTGACCGAGGCGAACGGCACTCATGTCAAGAGAAGGGCTTACACAATCACCCGCTACGTACGCAGTTCGGTTACATTATCGTGACCACAATGTGGCCTGAACATCGTGTAATCGGCCCACTCATCAGTAGTTGATATGTTGCAACAATAGGCTATAGATCTAGACTGGTTTTGCTGGGGGTCATTACAGCCTACGCTGATACAATAACGTGGCAGTTGCGAAAGCTAATAGAGAAACGGGCGAAGCTGGGACACCGCCTACCTGCTTCATCCGACATGGTCCCATTGACCGAATCGGACAAGGTTCCCTCTAATGAGAATAACGGTGCACATTGAGATTGCGAATCGCAATCAACTCACAAAATGATTGATACACAATTACGATTCGCACGTCCGATTTTCCAATTGTCACACACCTACACAGGTTGATGCGTATGGGCACTGCACACCAACTAGGCGAATGTCAATGGGGAGAGGGGAGCGTAGTTCAAAACTTCGGTCGCTGCTCACGATCAAGCAAATGTTTTACAGTGTAGCCCGCTGCTTACACAATGCCGGTGTATTAGCGTCATCACAATGTACATTCTGAACATCATTCAGCAGTCTTACTGCTCGTTTCTTACCAACAAATTGGCGAGGTGCTACTTAGATTGCAACGTGTCCAATTTGGTTTGCAAAATGTCCAATGTGGTTTGCAAAATGTCCAATTTAGAGTGAAAATTATATATATATATATATATATATATATATATATATATATGCATCTCAAGGCACGTTTGGAAATCAGCGCTAGTGACCTTGAGATGGTATAACCTGAGGAAATTTCAATATTATGCGGAAGACAGTTGAATCCTAAAAACGGTTCATCTTTCGCAGCAGTATCTTCTAATGTCCTGACTAAGAAACACAGAGAAGCCATCGAGGAATTAAGATCAAATCCTGATTGAGTTATCTCTAGACTCGACAAGGGCTCCGGATGGGTACTGATGGATAGATGCGACTACGTTTCCAAAATGCAGTCCGTTTTGCAATATAAGAGTACGTTTACAGAAGAGTAGTAGGGGGAATTGAATGGTATAGGTAGAATTTCGTCACATCTAGGCTCACTCAGACAGCCGCCACAAGCCCGGAAAAGCACTGTACGCGCGTTTCATCCTTTCGGGAATCATCAGCAGTGCGCATTCCATCGGACCCTTGGCAACAGTCGAGTTGCGGTTTCGAGCCCTACCAAGGGTCCGATGGAATGCGCACTGCTGATGATTCCCGAAAGGATGAAACGCGCGTACAGTGCTTTTCCGGGCTTGTGGCGGCTGTCTGAGTGAGCCTATATGTGACGAAATTCTACCTATAAGAGTACGTTCTTTTGTAAAACGGTACAGAAAGATAAAACCGCGCAGGATGAGCTTAAACTCACTCAAGTGTTAAAGGAGCTGAAGCGTATGAACCAAATGGATAACGTGCTACTGTAACAGCTAACTCCAGTGGGTTCCCATCCTCCACGTCTTTATGGACTACCTAAAGTACACAAACCACAAGTCCCTCTGCGTCCGATAATCGACATGTCAGCCTCGGCTACTCACTCGAAAAGGCTTGCGGGTTTGCTCGAACTAGTACGCAAGAACTTATGCACACACACCGTGAAAGACACATTTGAATTTGTGAAACGAGTAGAATGCATGAATGATAAATTGATGCTCTCTCTGGATGTTGAGTCACATTTTACGAATGTTCCGTTGATGGAAACTGTCAATTTTGTATGACTACGTGAGTGAAAAGAACATAGATGTCGGTATTCCGGTGAGGAAACTAAAGAAATTAATTTAACGGTGTATCCTCAACCGACAATTCTTATTTACTGGAGTCTAGTGCAGACAGATTGATGGTGTCGCGATGGAGTCCCCCTTAGGACCACTCCTTGCTGATATTTTCCTCGCTATTATTGAGCGTGAAGCTAGCTATACGACCCACCATCGCTTCGTTTGATTTCTATTGTCGTTACATGGATGATAGGTTTATCATCTGCGATTCAAAAACCCATGTTTCCAACCAGTTAAATGGTGTTCATCCATCGTCGAACTTCACTATCGAAACTGAAAGAGATGGTAAGCTAGCCTTCCTGGACTTGTTTCTAAGTCGAGGAAATGACGGTTCATTGGAAATAAGTGTGTCCCGGAAAGCCATATGGGTGAGCTAATATACACATTTTCTAAGCTTTGTACCCTTGAGGTACGGACGTAATCTTGTTCGCTGCTTGTATTTTTGTGCTACCAAAATTTGCAGCTAAGTGAGGCTAGAGGCCGGATAGGATCCTTATTCTCAAAACGCTACAAGATAACGGTTATCCGACACCATTCATCAAAAAGTATGCAGTGATCCGCGATAGTCGTGAAGTGATTACTACTGTCCCTAAGAAAGACGTGTTCCTATCAATTTGCTTTAAAGGCGATGTTGCCTTTGATCTACTGACCAGAAGGATTTTCAGTGCAGTGGTTCGAACGTTCCAGGCCGTCTGTCCACACATCCTTGCGGAAAACGCTCCATTTATAGCCCAACGCGTTAAGGACAGACTTCCGGTCCAGTCCCAAACTTACATCTTATATCAGTTTATCTGCGCCTGTGGTGTGAGGTGCGTGGGACACACAACTAGGCGTCTGTCTAAATGCATTGCGGAGCACTGCCTAGTGGCTTTGCGGAAAGGCATCGTCAGTCTCCCTAACAGTTCCATCCCGGAACATCTGGTGGAAAGCGGACACCAAATTAGGACCGCTGATGCCTTCCAAGTACTTTATGTAGTACAGCAACGGTACACTAAAGGTCTTAGAAAGCAAATCTTACGGACGGCCGAAGCGATCGCGATTAGGATAATTCAACCGGAATTATGCAAACAGAAGGCTTTGCTGCAAGGGCTTCTTCTACCTTGGCCCTAGTTAGCTTACCAACTTTTATCACCATGTGCCTACAGTGATCGGATGATGCGCTTGGCATTCCACCGATTAGCCAACACGTGCTCTGTCAAATGTGTTGTTAGTCGACTTTATTGGTCAATAATTTTGAGTTTCTCTTCGTCGCCATTTCAGTATTCCCTTCTCTGGCTTCATCAGCTATGTGTGTTCTGCCCTTCCATTTTATAATTGTAAATAAATAATTGTAAATACCTGAGGAGATTTGTCGAAAAGATTACTCTTCGCAACATTGTGTTCTTGCATTTCCATGAGTATAATTTACGAGTTAGAAACAGTGTTCCAGTGAAATAGTAACGGCCGATTTAAATGCCCCGTCGACAACGCTTGTCACAACGGTTACTGACCGATTGAATGGGTCCTTTGGAAGCACTCGTCGTATGAACGGATTGCGATGTGGCTCATTTTTTGCGCGGGAACGCTTGCTTCGTTTTAGTTTCATACCAAAGTTCTGCCAAAAGACTTTCTCTAACTGCCATCCATCAACCTTTTTTTCTCTATCAGCCGAATACCTGTATACGGACCAACTCTCCAGGCTCCTTTCTTGGACTATCTACAACGTCAGAAAGCCAAGCTGCATAACTGGACGCCTTCCGGTGTAAGTGCTTATCCATTCCGTGTAAAGCCTTTTCTTCGCCTCGACTATTATGCTTTTATTAATCAGTTCACAGTCGGTAATGGTGTTTTTGCCATTCCCCAGTCTCAGTGGGTTCCGCCACGCCACTAAGCTCCGCCATACGGTTGGTGGCATCCGGTTTCGGATTTTCCTGTCACTGTGGCCTGCCACAGGACGCCTGCGCCTACAGAGGGACCATGCGTGGCTTGCGCTGCACCACCCACACACCCCATATCCAGTGTAAACCCGAAGGAATAAGACTGGGAGGCATGCGGATGGGAACCACGTTTCATCAACGGACCCGGCCCACACTCCTTCACAGGCAAACACAAGCACGCTGTATTTGGGAAATCAAGCGCACACAAGGCGGTGGCTGGACCGTAGTCCGCTCCACACTGAGTGCATGGAACCGCTCTTCGAGCCTAGCACGGTCACAAGGACCGTGCACCCCGTCCCCTCCAGCAACGACCAACTGTCTACTGGAACCAGTATAGACGACGTAGTGGGTAATAGACAGGTAGGCACCTTGTCAACATGCACATCAAGCGCAGCCACATCTGGGATGTCAAACGGCAGCCAATCCTTCCAAATGCCGATATCGAATAAAGTAAACGCATATGACGACATAAATGCTGGCTAAATGAGCATATGGAAGAAATTGGTTATAAGTGAATCCGCGATAAGTACAAAATGTCCGAAAGTTATTAAAAAAAACCAAGCGATAAAATTACGCAAGTTTACCACAATTTGCATGAGCGATGTGTGCAAGTTAGGGGAAGATTCTCAGGTACGCAGAACAAACCAAATAGTGTAATGAATTTTATCCACATTAAAAAGACCTAGTTTAAGTGTAAGCATGAGGCATATATATATATATATATATATATATATATATATATATATATATATATATATATATATATATATATATATGATTGTGCCCCATGCTGAGGCTGATGTTGCATTCTTGATGCTTCTTAACCGCAGTTGGGCTAAACCAACTTACACTTAAACTAGGTCTTTTTAAGCTGGATAAATTTCATTCCACTTTATTTGGTTTGTTCTACCTACCTGAATAATGTTCTATTAACTGGCCACGTTGCTTACGTCAATTGCGCTTATCTTCGGTAATTTTGTTGCGTTTTGTAGCATTTTTAAGTAACATGTGGACATTTCTTACTTATCGCGGATTCGTTGCTAACCAACTTACTTCATATGGTAATTTAGCGAAGAGTTATGCCACCGTATCTGTATGCATTATTGGATTTATTTTATTTCAGTTTGTCGTTTAAAGTGAATGGCTGTTGCTTGATATCCCCGGTGTGGCTGCGCTTGATGTGCATGTTGACAAGGTGCCTACCTGTCTATTACCCACTACATCGTTCATACTGGCTCCAGGAGACAGTTGGTCGTTGCTGGAGGGGACGGGGTGCACGGTCCTTGTGGCCGTGCTAGGCTCGAAGAGTGGTTCCATGCACTCAGTGTGGAGCGGACTACGGTCCAGCCACCGTCTTGTGTGCGCTTGATTTCCCAAATACAGCGTGCTTGTGTTTGCCTGTGAAGGAGTGTGGGCCGGGTCCGTTGATGAAACGTGGCTCCCATCCACATGCCTCCCGGTCTTATTCCTTCGGGTTTACACTGGATATGGGGTGTGTGGTTGGAGCTGTGGGTGGTGCAGCGCAAGCCATCCATGGTGCCTCTGTAGGCGCAGGCGTCCTGTGGCAGGCCACAGTGACAGGCAAATCGGAAACCGGATGCCGCTTAACCTATATATATATATATATATATATATATATATATATATATATATATATATATATATATATATATATATATATATATATATATATATATATATATATATATATATATATATATATATATATATATATATATATATATATATATATATATATATATATATATATATATATATATATATATATATACAATATATTGATCAGTTCTCTTAAACTTCAGCAGCAATGTTGATTTTGCGAGTAGCTGGCGGATTCCACTCCTGGTGTTAGCTGAAAAAGTTAGGCAGATGTCGATGGTGAGTCCGAATTCGGCCGAAACGTTGATTCGTAATGGATTTACTTGATTTTGCCATAGCTGATTAGCTAGACACTGCAAACCTGATAACAAAGTTCACTAGTTACCCGACCTCGAACGGGACGAATGAGTCTGTGGTATCATCAGTCGGGAATAAAATCTACCCTGTCGTTTTCGGGACACTTTGAAATTTTACATTCGGTGTTTTCCATGGCGATCGTAACCATTACAGTTTTTTCTTTTAGTGGTTTGTTTCATTTTCATTATCTGAAATGATTAACAACATGCTTAGCCCGGGCTGCGGATGCAGAGTTTAAATTGTTCTGCGAGTTGGTTAGTTCGTTTGTAGGCGTTTAATTGTCAGACTAAGCATAATCACCAACTGTTCTTTGGGTTTGCTCGAAAACCGTTAATTTGACGTAAAGAACCCCAAAAAATCATTGGAAGGGCAAACATCCGGGGACCGCGTGAGTCCATCGGAGCAGAACCCAACCAGTAAGCATTCGGATTTAATATTGGATAGAACGCTGCACTCGTGATCTTAAGCCAGACAAGGAAACATCTGCAATCTAATCAACCAGCTCGTAGATCGGCTCAAACGCCGTATTCTACAGTAATGTCGCTGTGGGATACGACGACCCGGACAATTTCACCCTTATGCTCAGCTTATTGGTGGAGTATAGCTCTGGCTTATCTTACGTAACTTTCTCCGGGATATAATGTTATCAAAACTGCTTCGGGTGCATTGTTAAGTAGTAACTGACAGTGTTCCTACCATCCAAAATGGTACCACAAGAACTGCTACTCTCATAATAGCCCAATTTGCACATGCCCGCACTAATGTCTTGTTGATAATCTTTGGTTTATGCAACCTGCACTACAACCCAATATCTATCACTTTATCGTGATACATGGCCCTAATCTATTGGCTTCTATTTTCACGCATTCACTCTATCTCGTTTTCTTGTTGTTAGTTCACCTGTGTGTTCAATCAACCTTTGGGTGTAGTTATCAACTATTATGTCTGCTTAGCACTCTAACCATTCTCAGTAGCTAACACAGGTGTCCCGGCTTTCCTTCATATGTAATCTGTTCTCCTTTACAGCGCCAAACTTGGTTACAATCTGTGATATTCTGCATAGTCTTGACCTGTATCATATCGTTCGTCGTATCTATCATCCATGCCTTTGCCAAGAACTACCAGCGTCGTCTTCGAGAGTGGCAAGAAACGGCTGACCGCGAGATGCAAAATCTCTAATGATGTACTTACTTTTTGCGCTCTTGCGATCTCTCTCTCTCTCTTCAAAAACAGAGTGCATGTTTGCATTGTATTTGTGCTCTCTCTCGTCCCCTCCCCCGGGCCACGTGTGTGTTCGGTATGGCAGCTTGACCTTCCGTGATTTTAACCCTCTGCGTCTCGTGTACTTCGCTTATTTCATCCATCCCGTTCGCCTCGGGATATTGTAAAGATTTGTGATTGCATCATCTATCTGTTTTATTTCTTCCCGCTTTTTTGAAACCCAACCGCGTCGTTTCCTTTTGTTGTAATATACAGCCGGGTTTTTTCCACATCCGCGTCGGTCTTCTGTTGATCATGTGATGTAGATTTGCATGACCCCGTACGTATATCGCGAAATTCTCCATGACCTGTTCGTTCTACGATGTCTACAGACTCGTCGCAAGATTGTATTTATCGAGTTCTTCCGCTCCATCACGACAGCAATGTTACGTGTTCTATCACAGTGCTAACACTTTTTTACTGATCAAACTTGTTCCCCGACTTTTACAGTTCTACACGTATCTCTGTGGTTTAATTGCCGCTTTCTGTCTACTTGGGCTTGGGTTTTTTACTCGCTTCTCACGAAACACGATTAGACAGTCCTCTTTTTCCTGACCTAGCATCTTCACCGCTTTTAACTATTTTATGGTTCGTTGGCTTCTAGCCGCTACGAACAGATGCTTTGCATCCTTCGGGCTACTTTTCTGCTCCCTCGTAATGCACTTTCCGCTTGTCATCAAGAACGACGACAATACATTGTGCTCGTGCCGCAAAGGCGTTATCGCCCGAGCAATGCGAAATAGTATTAAGCGAGAAAGGGAAACCTGGTGTAACCTCTTTAGAGGTGATGGCCACAGACACCTGGTTGCCTTGTAAGGATTCAACATCATCGTTTCACATCATTCGTTTAAGCCTTCCAGTTTCTAGAGTCATAATCAACTTTATGCCACGAGCAAAGCAGCACAAATGGGCAATCTAAGTAGGAAGTCATTGTATGGATAAATCCATTGCCTGTCTCGCGCTAAGTCCCCTAAGGTCTCTATTCAAGCGCATCATAGTGTATCGCGTGGATATCATACTGGAAGCCAAAACGAATGAACCGCGACCATAATGCGAGCTAAACGCGTTGAGCAGATGTAAGCACTTCCCCATAGGATAACGCAGCTGATTTTCCGCTAGGTGCCTTGCAAAATACCCCATGATAACTATTTCCATGGTTCGAATGTCTCAGCGACTGCTGCTGGTTACCTCCTAGGTCGCTCAACTATCAGCAATGTCACCCTACCTATTTCACTTCTGCTATCACAAATGGTACCGACTCAACGAAACTGCCTCTAGCTCCGACATTGTCCGTTGATTTACATAGCCTCCAGTCGAGTCCACAAAGAGACATCGCCTCAGTTGACTTCAACCCAGACTACAACTTCGTTATCAGCCACACAGGATTCAACCTAGAAGCAGGTTAGTATCAAGCCAATTCGTAGTAGTTTCTCAAAGCTGGTATCTCATAAAGTATTTATAACGCCCAACATTCCTTCGAATAGACAAAGCCTTGCTTAAAACATAAATTAAGCTAACGCAAAGGCGAACTGATTAGTCTCGCTCTTTACTGATTTTCCTGATCTATCGGATCGACGTTCTGGCAACGCATGCGAATCTACTATTTAGGTATTTACTCAATCGATAAGCCTCTGGCTATTTGTTTCAATTCCATCCAGTACAAAACTCCGAAAGTGACCAGTATCCCGAATAACGGTCAAACGTCGTACTCCCATTTATACGAAGCTCCGGTAGCTGCAGCCCAGACCAATCATCAGCACACCTCTCGACTTTTTGTAGGGACCCTTAACTTGGACAACCTAGCAGAACTTTTGCTATGTCCACGGTAATTTCTCCACTGCGTGCCATTTCTTCAGCCATATATACAAGCAGTCGGCAAGTCTAACGATATAAAATGTATTTACTATGATATCCCTTTTTATTAGTTGGTCCCCCGAACTGCACTTCTTTTCCTCACTGTTCCGATGTCGCGCTCTCCAGGAAGATGGGAATGCGATGAAGTTCGCTTCCACGTCCATAGTTCCATTGCTCTGGTAATAAATACGTATACCGCTGTGGTACTTAGTTGCCGTATCTACATGGATAATAAACACCCGGCAACTTTTATGTGTCACCCATGTTTTGACGACTTTGTTCGGGTACAGTATTCATAAGTGGGATCTATATCTGAAAGAGCTCTTCGCATATGTTTCTGAACAATCTGTAATCACTACTAAACTGTTACTAAAGATTTCAATGGTTCCCAGCCTAGCAGCCACACTTGTGCAAATCTGAAGGAATAAGCCCAGGAGGCATACCTGTGAGAGCCACGTTTCGTCAATGAAGCCAGCCCATACTCCTTCGACATGCAAAGTAGCAGCATTCATGTCTACTTGGGAAGTCATGTGCATCAGACGTACACAAGTCGATGGCTTGGCCGTGTATCCTTCAAACTCGATTTGGCCACTTTTTGATTCTAGCACGGTTACGAGGACCATTAAATCCAGTCTCCGAAAAACGATTGTCACATAGAATCAATATAATCAAGGTAGCAATTTTTCGACAGGTAGGCACCATGACAACATTCACATCAAGCGCAGCCCCACCGGCGGTATGAAACAACCAACCTCGAGTTTGAAGAAAAGTAAACACGTACAATTGACACGGAGAAGGAGGCGAAATAACGCGACTGTGCAAATCAAAGTGGGATATTTTTATCCAGGTCAACTCATTTTCTACTGGCGCTTCTTAGAAACACTTAGATGTGATTTACCGTATTGAATTGACGTAAAATTTATATATCGTGACTTAGCTTTCACAAAAGACACTGATACATATTGTTTTGATGTTATTTTGTCTAACCCATGTTTACCTTAATTAATTTCATGCTTAAACAACAGTTTAGGACGTGCCCTTAAAGATGGACGGCAGCAGGGAATGTGTTACTAAGATTTAGTTTAAGTCCGTGTAGCCCAAATGCGATGAGGAAGCATGGTGTATGCAACATGAACCTTAGCATTAGCCTTGGAAATCAGCTCTGCAATTTAACCGTGCGGTACTACGGTCTCTCAAGCACACACGTGTGCGATTCGGGCCACTAACCAGCGTAATCGATCTGCACACGCACAGGAGTTCGTGCTAACTGTGGTGTAATCCTGCTCAATATATTAGCATCGATGGTGACGAGTATTCTCGAATGAACCGATCGTGCAACCGGATGGTTGTCCTTCTAGCCACCGTTCATCTCATTTGGAATGTCAGGACGAGTGACACTAGTCGTCAGTTACAACTCACCACTCGTCGTCCGTGAGGCTATCAATGCGATTTAGCACTTATTATGCAGTTGGTAACAAGACCATTGCGAATCGAGCATCGCATGTGAGCATTGACCGCGCCGGTAAGATATCCTAGTGGCATGCTGCTTTGTCCAGAGAAGCAGAAAAGCCAGCTCCTACATGCTGAACAGTGCGGAAACAATTACTCCAGTCGCATTTGTGGAAATATTGCTACGGCGGTTGCAGCGCCGCATGAACTGAGGATATGATAGTTTAGCCAAATGGCAAATTAGAGTTTGCTGGTCATTTGTGATTAATTTGTTCGTTCTCATTTACCCAAACTCGAATTCTCGTCTATAGTATTTGTTCATGGCATTATTACCCAATGCAATAAGGAGCCCGTAAATCGATGGAATCAACATCGTATTGACTGGGAATTATGAGGGATATGATCCCTACTTGATTACTCATGCATCAGCATGAAAATACCGCATCTGGTGGTCTGATCAATCGCCGGATCAGCATTTTGCATAATCGAAGAATAGGCCCGTACTTGTTGGAAGGTCATTTTGAAGAACTTATGTGAATAGATTGCGACGTGCAATCTCAATTTGGACCAGCAATATTCAACGCATACCCTCGATGACTTACAAGGACCGAGAATATGTAACACGGAACCACAAGCCTTGAATAAAAGTTTCTTTGAACTACTGCTAACAAATAACTTGGAAAAAAAGAAAAATGATGAGGATGAATAATAAACAAGAAGGATAACCAAACATCTGCTGCATGAAACACACATTGGTGTTGGTCGACAGAAATGGCAGCATCACAACAACGGCGGGCGCATCATGAACCCACGAAAATATTTCGAGAGTATTTGAAAACAGCGAGTCTGTTGTTGTTAGGCAAACGAAGCTCGTGGAATGACCAAGAGGGTGAATGGAGGGGGGGAAATTGTGAGATTATCGACAATAACGATACCATATATGTGTACCGGGTATCAAGAGTAGTTCCGGGGGGATAGCCTGTCATGAGAGGTGAAAGGTAACGATCCGTGGTTGTCAGCGCACTAGGTACGACGGTAACGGAGGGCGCAAAGTGGCGACGAGTGTTCATAGTAGTCGCTGGTGAAGAAAAGAAACGTTTTGATCAGAAAAACTGAGCTGCAAAGGAACGCATAAATCATAGGGAAATAAGTACATGTGATGTAAAACCGATCAAATCGCATAAATATTATGGCACCAACACACCCAATAACAAACCATATGAATAACTCGTCAAAGGACGTTTAAGACAGGGTTCAGTTAAACAGCCGTGATTCGAGTTGTAAAATGCTGGGCGACGACTCGCGTGTACAGCACACAACATCAATCAACAGTGATGATGAGGAAAATTAGATAGAACACAAAGGAAGAAATTGAGGCAAAATAGACCGTGTTGAATGTCAGAAAAGACGGAGTACAAAAGTTAGACGACGCCTCCAACAACTGACGTGGCCTATTTTCCGAGGCTCCATCCAGCCTGACCAAGTCCTTTAGGTAATCGGAAAGTCAGGAAGTAGCGACTCCGTGATTTCACCCAAAAAGACGCGGCCACAGCATAGTGTAAATGTAGAGGAGGGTGATAAACGCACAAACAGAGGACATGACCAAACCAACAAAAGTTTCAGGATTAGCTGACACTTTGTTGCGACACTAGTCAGTGACCATTCAAACATCAGCTAGCGGACCTCAGTAAAGAAAGTACCGCTGCTCCCACTGGATGTGAGCAACGATCTTCCAGCACCAATGTTTAAAGACGACTGAGCTTTGGTGGCTTCGATACCATGATGAAAGCCAAAACAAAACAAGCGCATAGGAAGAACCCGGAGACCTAGATGCACGCATGCCCGCACGGAGAAATGCTCTCATGTTTAAATGCACACGCTGATAATGATTACACCGAGAAATGTCCACTGTTAATAAAGCATTCATGTTTAAACAAGCTTTAATTTTCTGTCAAAGCCTTAAGTACCAAATAAGTGTGCAGGGCTTGAAGGTACCAGTAGCATTTGTCAACCTCAAGTATTTTATGCGCGGTTTGCCCTCCGTCCGTCCAAATAATGTTGATTTTTAAATGTTTACAAACATTCGCAAGAATTTTAGTTCCTATCCACAATCTCTTACACGAGAGGGGACTACGTTACGCCACATAACATATTTATTCTTCTTCACGTTGCTGGTCTTGACCCGGTATCCAAAGGGGTAGAGCTTTCGGCTACTATTCCAAGGGTCGCTGGATCGAGGCCTGCTATATCCAATTGATGAGATCAAAACGCGTCGTGGTGTGCAATATTTTCCGTCTGCTGTAACAATAATTCATCACGCAATACAAAGACTTTGTTTGGGTCAACCACACCGGGACTCATGGATATCCCAGAGTATCGTTTTTTGAAATACGTTTGTAGCCATTTTCTCCGTGTCCCAGCAGAATTCTTACAGGAGATGACTGTTTTGGCCTAAGGGCGATTACTTCATTACTCAACGCGGACGACTTCGCGTTACATTGTGAGATGTAACTCCAACTACTTCCAGATCAAGCATCAGTTTGCGTGTGTTATTTGAGAATGCGAGTCATGACAATGCGCAGTCGGATGTTGAAAGATGATACCGTCAAATGTCTTTATAAGTGAGCGACATTTCATACATCGACTGTGTCTACATCTGCAAGTTACAACTAAATCTGATGTGCAAAAAATTGGGTTTCTCAAGGTCCAGATGTGTCAAAACTCGGTTGCCCTACTGACTGTTTGAATACTACACTAATAATACTACAACAAGAAATAGCAGAGTACTTAAATGCATTTTCCAAAACAATGTACTGTGATTGTATCAACCTATAGCTATGAAATTTGGTTGTGCAGCTGGTGCAAGCGAAGGTCAACACTGCCATAATCACAAATTGGGAAAATTTGCCAAAACGACGAAAGTGGACATCATCCGTGTGAGTATTACGTCACTGGGTGCTCTACTATGCGCAAAATTTGTATGCGCATTTTCGCCTATTTTGCCGGTTACTGATAGCTACATTGTGAAGTGGGCGCACAATAACATCGGGCTTACCGTAACGGAGTACGCCACGCTTCTGAACAACAGATGGATAACACACCGTCTCCGTGGATGATCGCGCCTCCTAAAAGCCACATGAACCTAGCTGATACGTGAAGTAACTTCAATGGTGATGATACAAGGCAGGCGAATCGATCTGCCAATTTCGATCCGGAGAGAACAAGCCCAAAAGAATATTCCCCTACTTGAAACGTCAATTGAAACCTTGGGGCGACCTACCAGTCTTAGAGAGCTTGGGCGGACGGACGCTCATTTCAAGCGCGGAGCGCGCGGACGCCTTGGCTACGCACTTCCTCACCGTATTTCCAAGTAAACCGGCGGCTGTTCCAGTACCGGCACAGGTTGCGCCACTCTTGCTCGACATCCTACAATGTCATGCAGTCGAAGTGTATCAGCTACTCGTCAACCTCGATGGTGCAAAGCCTCCCGGATCTGAAGGACTTCACCCACTAATACGCAAGTCCCTATCGAATGTTATCTCCCCAGCCGTGACAAACAAATGACTCTCTGAAGGATGTGTCCCGAAGGACTGGAAATGCCCGATAGTGAGACCACTTCCCAGGAGTAGTGATCCGAGTAAAGTAGAGAACTATAGATCGATCCGTTTGACTTCGATCTTATCCAATGTCCTCAAGAAGGTTATGAAAAATTGTCTGCTGTTGTTCTTCGAATCGATGAATGTATTGACGACAGCGCACCACGGCATTACGAAAGGGCGATCCTGCATCACCAACTTGATGTACGCAAACCACCAATGAGTACGAGCTCTCAATGAACAAAAGGACGTTGATGTGGTGTACATCGACTTTAGTAAGGCGTTTGACAAGGTGAACCACGAGGTACTCCTTCGTGAACTGAGGACCTACGGAATCAGTGGCACGCTACTTGAGTGGTTACACGAGTTTATTGTGGGACGAAAGTTTAGAGTACAGGTCAATGACTACGTGATGGACTGGTTCCCATCGACCAGTGGCGTGCCTCAAGGAACTGTACTTGGACCAGTATTATTTCTTACTCATAACAACGATCTTCCGCAGCAGCTCCAGTCACCACGTGCCCTGTCTGCAGATGATTTGATAAGCTGGAGGATCATTGGGAATCAGGACGACTGCGCTCGCCTCCAGCATGATTTAGATCGACTGTCAACGCGGTCCACTGAAATGCAACTCCCTCTTAACGCAAGCAAGTCGGAGTTAATCAGTATCAACTGACGTCCAGCCACTCGACCATACACCTTGGAAGGTCAGTTGCTCCACACTAACATATCTGGCAGAGACTTAGGAGTGTTCACTAGATCACTAGAAAATACAAAGAAATTGTACTGTGCGGGACCTCGTATGCTCTGGGCATTAAGACGCAGTTTCTCCACATGGTCCGAAGAAATCGTCCCTCGCCTATTCACCTCGTTCATTAGACCAATCCTTGAATACGGCGCCCCAGCCTACCATCCGATAACCTATTTGGAAACTGAAAAACTGGGGAAAATACAGCAACTAAAATTGAAACTAGAATGATACCGAGCCAGCGAAAGCTCCCGTATAAAAATGTTGTGAAAGACTCGGACTCCACATACTATCCTACCGCCGAGTAAGAATTCACCTTATTATGACCTATCGAGTACTAGATTTGAATCACTTTCCCAATATTTCCACCTGCGGGAACCCTATAACACCCAAGGACACCGTTACAAACTCAGGGTCCCCAGCATGAACAAGGTATCACATAAGCTTTGTACAGAACAAAGAATCGTAAACTAATGGAATACACTAGCAGAAGGACTAATAGAGGCAGATTCGGTGAAGGGTTTTAAAACAAGTATCGACGATTATTTCGGAAACCTGTGCTTTTGTGAAACGGTGCATATGAAATGCAAAAAATACATCGTATACCTGAAAATAAGGACACCAATACAAATTCCTAACCGAACAAAGAATAAACGATTGACTGACCAAACACTACCGCTGACGATTCGCAATTAAAAGTTTCTGATTTTTCATAATTCGAAAGAGTTGTACAAAAACCTTAATATCCGGGAATCAGATAAAAACATAAAAGAGAAAGGCTATGGAACTTGCAACACACGAACTACGAAATAAAAAAAGGAAAGTATGTAATGGTGTCTGAAAGCTGGGCTGAAGGGAATCGCCTACCCCATGCGGTCGATCAGACGATCGATCGATAGGACGAACGCGTTTTCAAACACCCAGCTAATTGTACTTTTGCCTAAGAGTTGAGAGTACAGTGTTTCGGCGGCATTAACTGGCTACGTTGGCAGCTTTTTGTTAACACGTTTTCCGTGTGCAAGGTTGTTAGAATTTTGATTTTTCTTCGGCTGGGCTAGAATTTTTGAGGAGAAATTTCTGGGCGGTTAATTCAGAATAGCGAGAAAAAGTGAAGATCTAACAATGGCGACGGACAAGCACGAAAATGTTACAAACATTTCCGCCGAACATTTTCAAAAGCTGCTTCTTCAGCAACAATCCCAGATGGAAGCACAAATGAAACTGATTGAAAGTTTGACGCAGTGCTTGAACGTACAGTCAAACGGAACAGCTACACGGGACACGCAGGCTGTTTCACTTGATCTTCTTACGAATTCAATCACTGAATTTCATTATGATGCTGATTCCGAATGCACTTTCGAGGCGTGGTTCAAACGCTGGGAGGATATGTTTCGGACGGATTTCAGCCGTCAAGACGATTCATGGAAAGTGTGTCTTTTGCTCCGCAAGCTCGGTACTAATGAACATTCAAGATTCCTTGACCACATATTGCCCAAAGAGCCGAAGGACACCACTTTCAACGAAGCAGTGGCAACACTCAAAGAAATTTTTGGTGAGTCGACATCTTTGTTTAGCATTCGCTATCAATGTCTAAAAATTGTTAAGCGTGATACAGACGATTATTGGGCACTAGGAGACATGGTTAACCGTGAATGTGAACGTTTCGAGTTACGCTGTTTGACGGATGACCAGTTTAAGTGTCTTATATTTGCCAGTGCTTTACAGTCTCCACGCGACGCGGAAATCCGCACTCGGCTCCTTGCTAAGTTGGATCAAGACCCAGATTTGACATTGAAGTCTCTTGTAGGCGAATGCAAACAATTGATCAGTTTGAAACGCGACACGGCTATGATTGAACAGAGTCGCCCCATCATTGCCGATACTGTTCATGCAGTGCAAAAAGCAAAAAAGCCTGGCTCGAATAAGCCGTACAACAGAACGCCGAACAAGCCGCCTACACCTTGTTGGTCATGTGGTGAATGGCATTTCGCACGATACTGTCCATTCAAGCGTCACATTTGTGGTACGTGCCATAAACGCGGCCACACGGAAGACGTTTGCCATCAGTCCCGGCCAAGAAACGTGAAGCAGTCCTACCGAAGTAAGAACTTCAGGAAGCCTGACGTTGAATCACTATCGGTGATTGCCACGTTTCACAGCGATTCTAGAACACGCCGCCGATTTATCACTGTGCTTATCAACGGAATCCCAACCCGGCTGCAGTTCGATACGGCATCAGATATAACGATCATTTCCAAGAACACTTGGAAGCACATAAAGAAGCCGAAGATGGTTGATTCCAACAAAGTCGCTCTCAACGCATCCGGTGGAGTGCTGAAGTTGGTCGGAGAAATAAATTGCAAAATCGCATTCAACGGAGTGGGAAAGGCCGGAACCTGCTACTTGTCTGATCGACCAAACTTGAATCTCCTTGGACTTGACTGGATGGAAAAATTACAACTGTTTGATGTTCCAATGAGTCACATTTGCAATAGAGTACAAACCGACCCAGTACACGCACCACTGTCGATAGAAGAAATGACAAGAAAGCTAAAGCACCAATTTGTCGCCTTGTTTGAAGATGGTCTCGGCCACTGCACTAAGTTCAAAGCAAAGTTGTGTCTTCGTGAAGGAATCAAGCCAGTCTTCAGAGCAGAAAGACCGGTACCGTATGCAGCCATGGCAGCAGTTGATCAGGAGCTCGACCGACTGGAACGAGCTGGTGTCATCACGCCAGTGAACTACTCTTCATGGGCTGCGCCGATTGTTGCTGTGAGAAAGCCGAACGGTAAAGTGCGAGTCTGCGCCGATTTTTCGACTGGCCTGAATGCCGCATTGGACGACCATCAATACCCCCTTCTGATACCCGAGGATATCTTTGCCAAACTGAATGGTGGGAAGTGTTTCGCCAAGCTCGACTTGTCCGATGCCTACGTCCAGGTTGAGGTTGATGAAAGCTCGAGAGAACTGCTGACCATCAACACTCATCGTGGCTTGTACCAGTACAACCGTCTCCCTTTTGGCGTGAAAACAGCACCAGCCATCTTCCAGCAGCTGATGGACACCATGCTCGCGGGAGTTTCTGGAGCCGCGGCGTACCTGGATGACATCATTTTAATGGGTCGGACGGCAGAAGAACTATTTCAGCGGCTCACTGAAGTGCTTGTACGTATCCAGTCATATGGTTTCCGTATCCGTGAAGACAAGTGTACCTTTTTTACACCAACCATCAAGTTTCTCGGCTTCATTTTCTCAAAAGACAGTCGTCGCCCGGATCCAGGAAATATCCGAGCTATTCAAAAGATGCCCCCACCTGTGGACTTGCAATCGCTGCGTTCATTCTGTGGCCTAATCAGTCATTACAACGCTTTTCTGCCCGAACTACATCGCCTGCGTGCCCCGTTGAATAAGTTGCTGAGCAAGGGCCAAACCTAGAATTGGACGCCAGAATGCCAGATTGTGTTCGAGAAGGTCAAGTCATTTTTGGCTTCAGACTTACTCCTAACTCACTTTGATCCCTCCCGGGAAATTGTCCTTGTCACAGACGCATCGAGTCTAGGGATAGGTGCCGTAGTTTCCTATACGTTTCCAGATGGATCTCAGAAGACGATCGCACATGCCGCCAGGACGCTAACGAAAGCCGAAAGAAACTACAGTCAGATCGAGAAGGAGGCATTGGCCATAGTGTTTGCTGTGAAGAAACTTCACAAGATGCTGTATGGTCGCCGCTTCAAACTCTTGACGGATCACAAGCCGCTGCTGGCCATTTTCGGCTCGAAGAAGGGAATTCCTGCCTATACAGCCAATCGACTCCAACGATGGGCACTCACCTTGCTGGGCTATGACTGAAATCCGTTATCAGTCAATGAATTCGCTGGGCCAAGCAGATGCGTTGTCACGTCTCACTGATTCCCAGCAGCAAGAACACGAGGACACCATGATTGCCTCAGCTGAGATAGAACCTGATGTCCACTTCCTGGTGAGCGATGCACTACATGGTATGCCAGTTACGGCCGATGCTATGCGGGCCGAAACGCTTCGAGACCCAATTCTGAAGAAGGTGACACACTTTCACAGAACCAGCTGGCCACGTTCGTGTTCATCTGCCGAATTACAGCAGTTCTATCAGCGAAGACATTCGCTTTCCATTGTGGACGATTGCATCATGTTCTCAGAGAGAGTAGTCATCCTGCGGGCGTTGCAAGAAAGAATGCTGCGACAGTTCCATACAGGACATCCAGGGCTCAACCGAATGCAAGCGCTTGCCAGAAGTTATGTGTATTGGCCGTTTATGGGCAGACAGCTGGAGCAGCTAGCTAGAAGTGGTGGCAACTGCGCTACCGCCTCAAGGGCACCGCCGAAGACAGAACTCCACTCGTGGCCTAAACCAACTAAACCTCGGAGCCGTGTTCATGTCGACTTTGCAGGCCCAATCGATGGCCAGAACTTTCTCATAATGGTCGACACTTATAGCAAGTCGCCCGAAGTGTTCCTCATGAGAAACACGAAAACCAGCGCAACCGTCTCTAGTTTGCGACAAATCTTCAGCAGGTTTGGCTGCTCTGAAACATTGGTGACGGACAATGGAGCACAGTATACTTCGGCCACATTCACGGAATTCTGCCAACGCTGCGCCATCAAACACGTGCGGTCTTCACCATTCCACCCACAATCGAATGGCCCAGCGGAGAGGTTTGTGGATACATACAAACGCGCTCTCCTCAAATCAAGGAGGGAGGGAGACATAGAGGAGGTGATCGACCATTTCCTTTTTCTGTACCGATCTACATACCATTTACTAACGCCGGGTGGAATATCACCAGCAGAGGCAATGATGAGGCGAAAACTTCGCATGCCACTTGATGCAGTTCGGCCGTCCTCAGAGTCCACAGCTGGTGAAAGGAACCTCAAGATGCAACGGCGGTTTGGTGCCAAGCGACGTTCGTTTAGACCAGGTCAGCCAGTACTTGTGCGTGATTATCGGGATGGACACGCGAAATGGACGTCAGGCACGATCCAGGGCAAGCGCGGAAGCGTCATTTACGACGTGCTGGTTGAAATGCATGTATGGGTACGCCACGCAAACCAACTGCGACCAACGTGTCAGCCACAAGCAACAGATTCCGCCGAGCTTCCATTTGACCTGTTGACAGACAGCCTCAACTTGCCTAAAGAGCCAGTAGAAGAATCCTGTCATCAGACGAATGGTACCAGACCGCAGAGCACGGAATCCGAATCCAGAACACTACAGCCAAGGCGATGGACCGGTAGAAGAACAGCTACCAGGAGGCTTCAGGTCCATCCCAGGCTAGCATCATACACAACGGCAGCTGTTTCAGGAGGGGAAGTATCCGGGAATCAGATAAAAACATAAAAGAGAAAGGCTATGGAACTTGCAACACACGAACTACGAAATAAAAAAGGAAAGTATGTAATGGTGTCTGAAAGCTGGGCTGAAGGGAATCGCCTACCCCATGCGGTCGATCAGGCGATCGATCGGACGAACGCGTTTTCAAACACCCAGCTAATTGTACTTTTGCCTGAGAGTTGAGAGTACAGTGTTTCGGCGGCATTAACTGGCTACGTTGGCAGTTTTTTGTTAACACGTTTTCCGTGTGCAAGGTTGTTAGAATTTTGATTTTTCTTCGGCTGGGCTAGAATTTCTGGGGAGAAATTTTTGGGCGGTTAATTCAGAATAGCGAGAAAAAGTGAAGATCTAACATGTAATCTCACAGGTGGCGTCTCGGTCCAGTCCAGCACCGGGGACATGTGCTACGGGTACAAATGAATCAGTAGTATATCGTGAGTAGAAAAACGCGTCCATCTCTAAACTCAGCACATGCCTTGCAGGACATTCTGAAAGATGTCTTCACTGATGTCCTCAACCCCATTTCCTTCTAGCTTGAATTGATCACATACTGTGTGTGTGTGTACTCATCAGTTAAGTATTATATGGGCGCTAGACCCCAGATGTACGGCGACAAACCTTACCATTTAAGTGTACAATCAATCCATCGTTCATAACCTCTATGCTATAGTTGGGTCGTTAATCATTCAATAGTACTCGTCATGAAAGAACAATGAGGGTACAAGAACTGGCCACTTACAAGATGCGGAGAAGAGCTCTTATCGGGATAGTTTGCAGGAGTAATCAGTGGGTTTCCGACAACCTAGGGGAAGGCAAGAGTCGGAATAAAAAGGAAGAATTTGAACGCGAAGTGTAATACAGTAATGAGATTTAACTCAAATAATAAGCTGAGTATTAACAACACTAAAATTACTGTGCCGCCGTTTTATCCCTTCAGGAATCGCTGGAAGTGCGAATTCCTTCTGACTCCTGCGCAGCAAGAATTTGCAACCCGACAGTTGGCAATCTGTGGTTGAGACCATTGAGCTACGGGGACGATAACCACCGACGTGACACATATTTGACCAGTGGCATTCATTACAGACTGCTAACAGTCGGGTTGCAGATTCGAGCCCCATAGGAGCTAGATGGAAGGCGCGTTGGTGGCGAATTCCGAAAGGATGAAACGGCCGTACAGTGCTTTTCCAGGTGTGTGCGAGCTGCTTGGTTATGGCTAGATGTGAAAAAGTATTCAAACGATCCAATTCACCTATTGAACATTTGATCAGTGTTAACAAGATAAGTGCTCGAATGGGACACGGTGCCACTTTGTCTGGTGCAGATGAGAGCTTAGGCAGAGTATTGCAGTGTTCAGGACAAAATGAAAGCTACCTAGGTTGTTTACAAAGGGTACACCTGATCACCAAATAAAACGGCGCGTATTGATGTTAACCGTTGAAAGAGCTCCCTAAGAAATTAAATGACATAATGGTCAGGTTGGAATTAGCCAGAATGGCAAAGAGAGAACATGCAGGAGATACTGGTGTTGCCGAGCATTTGAGCCCACGGAAGACTGACAGAGTCCGTTCAAAGCACCTACTGGGTGGGATTGCAAGGGTTTTGTGCGAAATCGAGGTAGGCATCGTGAGTATGGTGGAAACGGACACAGATTGATATGAGCTGAAGTACAAAGATAGTGGTAGCTCAGTGACAGTTAGGGTGTATAACATTGTTACTGTATAGGTCTAGGCAGTTCACAGTGAGGACATTAAACGATTGATCAGGTTCGATCAGCCGTGCTTGCGAACGCCGCTCGAGTGAATCTGAGACCCGCCAATTGGTTTTTGTCAAGAAGCCTTCTGGTGCCTCAATCAAGTGTTTGTTCAACCATTTATGTTGACTAGGTCATGTACTCCGTATGCCCGTCGACCGACTTCTTCGGCACGCATCATACGCGACGATGTGTCGAGTTTGGGGAAACGGCATAAATGCATGAAGAAACTGATTGGGAGACTTGTTTAAACCGGTATGTGTCGTCTTCGTGGATGGGGACTTCGGGATAGTTCCCAACAGTCGATGGAGACTGGCAGACATGGCACGAGCGGGTAGTAAGTGGCACTCCTGCATTCGGCTTCTTGCATCCAACTGTTAGTTGAAACTCTATATTAGTTCTGGACACTTATCTCGACTCACATAGCTTTGTATTCTATTTGTGTTCAATCTTAACCTTCTTACTGTTGTTATTCTAACGAAATGAGTGGCAAATGGATCCATTGCACCTTGGTGCCCCGGGGCATAGTTGTTCAACTGAAATGAACTGAATGTACAGAAAAAAATGCGACAGTTATCCATTCGGATGACTATCTGAATTAGACTGCAACGAACGCACTAAAGCAACACTACTCTCTAAAGTAATCGCCTGAGTTAAATTGTAATGTCACAAGATAAGTAGCGGCCTAATGCGGTAAGTTGTGTCGCTGGAGATCAGCCCCGTGGTGGGTTAACCTCGCCATATGGGAACAAGCGACCAACTAATAGGTATTTTCCGTCCTAACTCATGGCGTTGGGGTTTTAAAACGGTGACACGCAAGCTGTGAATTAGAATTCAACAAAATTGTAATGGATTCGCGCTGCTTTCAAGTCCTAACAGACAGAAACGGATGTTTAATCATTTTTCGGATAAGTGATGACATTCTGAGTAGACCTAACTGCAGCAAATGATCATAACATAAACAATGCACCCACTACTCTCTAATGTGACTGGCTAGCCGAACAACCTCCTCGTGGTGCCAGCTGGTTGGTTCGGGTTTAACCCGTTCCAGCTAATAGTTCGGCGGCAGTGTTCCAGGACGTGGTGGGTTTTCGCCTGGCAAGCGTTCTCTCTATAAAAAGCCACAAATGTCTGCTTAACAACACTGTGACGTGGTGGTCGTGGCTCGCCACAAAATAAAGTCACTGCCCATTGGATATCTGGATAATCCTTTCCAACCCACTGACACCAATCTTCTACTCGCACATTGCTGACGATAGCAAACATTCAAGAATGGAGCAGCATAGTTACAAGCGCAAATTACAGTTACATAAACGCACACACAATTACATACTTACATTCCCCCCTGCACAAACAAGCACTGTTATGGCAAACATATCGGATTTTTGCAAATTCTTGATCACGCATTGTTTTGTCAAAATGATCATGCCTGTAAAGGTGTGCCTCGCCTTGTCGAGAACAAAAGTTTCATTTAAAATGTTTCGGGTTGATGAATCAATTGTTCATTTGTTCTCCGAGCTTGGCGGTTTTCTCGCAAACGTTTCACCACCATGCGAGGTGGCATCCTCAGTGCAGTGATATGTAGCGCACAAGCTTACTAAATGAATTCTCCCTCCATGATCGACCTGCAGGTGATTTTGAACGTGGCAGTGTTGATTTAGGTCCCGTGACCTCTACCCACTTTCCCCAAGGCTAAAGTCGGCGCCCGAGTTGTTCTGCCTCAAACCGCATGGCAAAAGGTTCTTTAGTTCTTTCTGTCGTAGTGGTTCGTATATTGAATCGACGTCCACGCGCATGTTGATTGAATGTTTCGTTGAGAACCAAGCTTCCAAGAATTCTCTTTCTTTTCTTGTTTCACCCCGTGCCAGGACTTCTGCTTTGCTCCAATCGAAGCTATGACCTTCTGCATCTACATGCATTGAGACTATCGACGATGCATAATGCTTTATACAGGCTCTCATGTTCTTGTATCCTTGTTACCAATTTTATTCCCGTTTGGCCAACATAATCCCTTTCGCAATCTCGGCAATGTATTTTGTATACCACATTGCGTTGTTCATGTGCGTGCAGTTTTTCTTTTGGTTTTGAAAGCGTTTTTCTCAACGTGGCAGTTGGTTTGTGTGCTACGATGAGATGATGCTGCACTGAGGATGCCACCTCGCATGGTGGTGAAACGTTTGCGAGAAAACCGCCAAGCTCGGAGAACAAATGAACAATTGAAAAGTTTTATTTATTTATTTAACAGTTCGGATATCAATTGTTCGAAATCACATATCGGGAATCCTTGCAGTAGATGAACTGACGTTAGGATAATAACTACTTAACACAAATGGTGATTGCTCAGTGAGGATGTCTTCTGATCATTAATGACTGGTGAAAGTCGAGAAGGAAATAAAACTCAATGAGCAAGATACCAATGATTGAAATACCACCACCGCAAATGCGATGTTGGAACACAAGAGATGTAAACGACACCAGTTGGCATGCAAATCACACATATAAGCGAATTCAGAGAGGAGACGCATATATTACATACATCAGGCGATTCACGAGAAAGCGGACATAGAACAAACAACAGCTAGAGAGCGCCACCGTTTTGCAAAACCGATCAATGGTGGAGTGATCGTCTGAACAGCTACGCTCAAAAGTGCGACAGCACTGACCAAATCCGATCGTTACGAAGCCAAAAGATGAGAATCTGTGTGGTAGTCTGTCATCCCCTAGACAGAATACCTATTTATAATACGGGAGCCGTCGGGTTACTCGCGAGTGATAATAAGGGCTAAACGAAACCTAGTCAGTGCGAAGCACTGTTACTGATGGTGGAGGTGATGCGGTGTTGTCGAGATAAAAAGGCCAAATGAATTCAAGTACTGCAGTATGCCATGTTTAGGTTTCATTCATATTAAGTGGGATCAAGTTTTACAATATGTAGTTAGTAGATCGCAGTGAAGTATCTGTATGTAACCACGAATACGAGTTGTAACATAAGGAAAAATCGGACGTCGAATCGACACGAGGATGTTAGCACGCGTGAGGTGAAAGTCCATGTAAGTGCAGAGAGTCAGTCTAAAGGTTCGATAACAAAGGAGCTGATAAGCATTGATGCTATCGTGATCAGGCTTTAAGCGTCCGCAGTAGATTGGTTGTAAGCCCTGAGTTAAGTGAACGAGATAAAGAAAGACGATAAAAGATCATGTCATAAGCCTGAGTGAAGACAATGCCGGGGTTTGAACTAAAAGTGGGAATAGGTTGTACCGTGTCACTTCAATAGAGCTATACTTAACAGATTGATGTGTGTTTGAGGTTTATAATTCCAAATGCATTGACGCGTTTGACCGCGCTTGATGCGAACATTGACAAAGTGCTCAAGCCGGACTAAAGGCTCGAGGAAAATGGTAACCGTTGTCGGAGAAGACTACGTAAACAGTTCTTCCAAAAATGTGAGACTCAAAGAGGGATTTTAACGTGGAACGAATTGCGGTTTAGACAACCACTTTCGTAGGGGTAAAAGGCATGCTTCTCCGAAATGGAGAAGTGTGGAAGGGATTCGAAGCATACGTGATTCTCATCAGTATACTTAATGAGTCTGCACTGAATGTGTGTAACGAGTGGGGGCGGAACTGTGGGTAGCACAGTGTAGACCACTCGTGTTCCTGGAGCTGTCAATAGTCCCGACGGTGAACTCATCTGGAAACGAGTGCCGCAAACTGCACGGAGGGAAAATGAAATGCGAACAATCCAGCCAAATATCGCAAACTGCAAATCAGAACCAAGTCAGAAACAACTAATGAAAGAGGTGGTACAAAAGAAACCAAGGAAATATAACACAGGAACTAATAAAAAAAGGATCCGAGCCACGACAATGAATGATTGTTTTATTAAAAGTCAAGGTTCCAGCTTGCTAAGAGTACGGTTTCGCAAGCCTAGGCCAATGTAGCTCGTAAATCGTGGTCACTCAGTCGTCCGCTATGAAGACCCGTAGGAGCTGAGCCGAAGTCAAAGCCAGCAGACGCCCAATGGTCAGGTTGTAACACACCGGGAAGATAACC